GAAAACACTTTAAGATAAACTACTCTAAGACAGATGAAGAAGATTTATATATGTCGCAGTATATATACGGTGCTAGAGAAGACTTCCTTCATTATCAAGTTCTACTGCATACCATTGACATGTTAATAAGCGGTACCACCTACGCTGCATTCTTTCGTGGGCGTGGTGAAAGTGGTGCCATCTATTTATATGTCACCAGTGTTCTACATATATCCTGTTCTGTAGTTAAATCCTGATAGTCGCTTGTCTGCATGTTGATTTAAGAGGCTGAAAAATCGTAGAATATTTCGTCAAACTACTTTCGTTGCATGATTAATGTCAAATCATAAAAATCATCCATTAGTACAAGATTTTAAATATTCGATCGAATTCGCTCCTTTCTTCTTTTAGATAGCAAAGAAAAATTGAATCAATCATAAACAATATTTTCATGGAACTACTCAACATATACATCCATCTAAGTATACAAACAAAAATGCGAGCAGTGATACGAAAAAAGATTTAAAACCGATACATACATTTGACAAAAAAAAAAAAGAAAGCCTAGATGAAATGTTTGTTTCTCATAAATTGGTTTTTCCAATTACAGTAACAACAAAAAAAAAGTTCGAATACCATTCAATAAAGAAAAACTTACACACCCACACACACACGCACGCATCATATAGTGAATAATAATTGAAACAATTTACAAAATAAAATACGATTAATTTTCACGCACATAAACAAGGAAAAAACAAAATAAATATTCTTATATATTTAATATTCGTTTTTTGTTTCATTTAAATAAGATTAGAGTCTATAATTAAAACCGACTAGAGTCGTGTGACAAGATCAACAAGTCAAAGATGAATTTAGGTGGATATTCGTAATATCACAACAAGAAAAAATAAATAGAAATTTTCATACACCACTAGTAAAACTTATATAATTTTCTGGTATTAAACCAGTTTTACCATTAATTGTACCCATTAACTAAACAGAGAGAAAAAAAAAACGTCTTATTTGATCATAAAAAAGAAGAGCAGAAGATAATATAACTTACCCAACCAGGTTCTTTCGTTCGTCGAACTAGAAAAGAAAAAATTCATAGTACTTTATTTTTATAAGATTTGTTTTTTTTTTCTTTTAAACTTACTCTGAGTAACAATTTCATGTGCATTAAATGATAATTCTGAATCATTATCAGCTGTACAAGGATATAATGTTATAGCACGAGTTTGTCTATAAGAAAAAAATTTAATATTATAATAAAAAACAAAAAAAAATGTAATTATTTACGAACAATTTCGATGTAGGATTTGTCATGCTCGATATTGCTGTTGTTCTTATTGTTGAAGATGAAATATTAGTTGGTTCAAGTTTTGATGATATTGAAATATTCGTGCTTGTTGTCGATAAACGACCTTGATTTTCAGATGATGATATTTGTTTTGTAAAAGATGATGATGAAATTGAGCGTATTTGATTGCTAATAATACTGAATGCATTGGAACCTTATTTAATATGATGAAATACAAAAATCTATATAACAGAAGAGAATATATTAAAATTTTAACATACTATGTATTGATTGAGTACCAGCTGGTGATACATTAGTAAGAGATTCTAAACTGCTACTTGAACTGGCTAGAAAAAGAATATTGAAATTATGACAATAGTTTGATATTATTTAGATTTAAATAACTTCATCGTGTTCTTAATGTTTTATTTGTGATGAAGAAGATATTTGAATTTTATTATATGTATCAAGACTCGAAATGAACCGATTTACAAAAATCATGGACTAAGTTTTTTTTGTTGGGTTAGTTCAATCCAATGTTTCTATCCTCTCTTCCAAACGTTATGTTTTTCATAAATGATAGAAATTTTTTTAAAGAAGTTTTATAGTAGAAAAATAGACTATAGTAATGGTTTAAATTGATCGCATTTCTCGTGCACGCACAGTGTTCTGTAACAAGTGAACTATGGAAAGTGCGCCGGTTTTTTTTTCAGAAAAATGGAAATCCTATAATTTGTACGCCATTTTCTGAGCAAAAGCTCGTTTCTTGATTTTGATCGTCCAGTGAGGTGGCATATGGTTGAAAATAGTTTGTATGAAATAACAAAAAACAAATTGGATATCTCACGTTTGGAGACCCAGTTGATTCTTTCGGATCATTATCGAACTTATAGTAACTACTGTAAGTTCGGTAGTTAATGTTAAAATCTTTGTAGAGAATGAGACTTATTATTTGTTTCTGCATATAGATCATGTACGACTGTATGCTAGCTCACCAAAAAGTGACAATCGAAAAAATAAACTTTCATTCGGAAATATGTTACACTTGCCATGTGTTTCACTTAATTAAAAAGTCAATGGCGGAAAATATTGAGTTATGTATAATGATCATTTCTAAGTACAAACATCTTCGAGTATCTTTTATTTGTTCGTTTGACTCAACAAGTATCAAAAGAAATTTTCTTTGAACTACAACTTAAGTTTTGAATCATGAAAAAAGAATATATTTACATAAATAAATTATATTCTACTTACACTCTTTTCTAGTATTATCTTCTGGCATATAAGGAAATAAATGTTTATTTGTTTCATTGATATGATAATCGGGATTATATAAACCTCTTCGACGTGCATCAGCTGTTGTTTCAATCATTTCACTAGTCGCTGGTGGTGCTCCTCGTCTTGTAAGAGACTAAAAATAAATTAATAAAATTAATCGATTTTGTTTTTTTTGTATTTAAAAATAAATTATTACAACTAATGATGATAATGAATTGCTTAAATTTACACCACTAGCTTGATCTTGTTCACTTGAACCAACCATTTCATCAATATCTTGTTGTTCAAGTTTA